GACAAAGCTCCGGATCGATCCAGAGCTCTGTTATCGGCTGCAGGAAAGCCTTGCCGGCTGCAGAAGAAGTTCCTGAAAGCCTCTGACAGTGAAAAGGAGGCTGGGGACAACACATGCAAGTGAGGTTGGTCAGTGGATGACGTCCCCCGAAAATAAGACCTAGTGCCTTTTTTGGTGGCAAAAAAAATATATAAGACAGGGTCTTATTTTGAGGGAAGCACGGTATGTATATGGACATGTATATATACATATGGAGGGGGTCAGAGAGAATGTTGTCTAAGTAATATTTGACAGTTCAGCACCATTTCCTGAGGATGAGCAGCCTAACCTGGGCGCAATAGGGGAGGAAGCAATAGGAGTTAAGCCCGCATCGATTGACATGTCTGAGGTAAAAACGATAAGAGCTAATCACAGGTTGGAGGCGGGTGGGCGGGCCTGTTACGCGCACAATGGCTAAATTGATCAATGATGCATAAAGGCGAATATCTCTCCAATGGTAGTTTTTTACACTCTGACGTTGTTAGCAGAGGCTAACGAAAGCTAAATGGATAATATAGTTTACGTTTCGGAGATTGTGATGTATGTCTCTTCTTTTATAGCTACACCTGGAACTCGTATTTTTAGGATAGTTTGCAATATGTATATGTGTACACACAGATACACACACACACACACACACACATATTTATATATATAATTTATTTATTTTCTCTCAACCTTCCCTTACAACAGAAGCCCCCAAACCATTTTCTTGGGGAGATTTGTTATCCTTATCACATCTATTTGTAAAAGGACAAGCTAAAACAATGCAGGTAGTCCTCGACTTACAAAAATTCATTTAGTGACTGTTCAAAGTTACACCAGCAGTGAAAAAAGTGACTCTTGACCGTTTTTCAGAGTTACGATTTTGGCATTGTCCCCATGGTCACACAATCAAAACTGAGACCTATGACAATTGATTCATATATATGACCGTTGCAGTGTCCTGCGGTCTTGTGATCCGTTTTTGCGACCTTCTGACGAGCAAAGTCAATGGGGAAGCCAGGTTCACTTAACAACTGAGTGACTAATTTATCAGCTGCAGTCATTCACTTAACAACCATGGCAAGGAAGCTTGTAAAATGGGACAAACGCACTTAACAAGCATTTCACTTAGCAACCTAAATTTGGGGCTCAATTGCCGTCGTAAGTTGAGGATGACCTGTAAACAGTTGGGGGATATTTCAGCTAAAGTATAAAGACATTTTCTGTTCTGGTTAACCTGTGACATCATGGGACTCCAGTGATAAAAGGAGAAATATCCCATTTTGTCCTTTGGGATTTGATGGTCAAAAGATGATGCTGAAAGCAGTTTCGACACATACAGGTAAATAAATGTATAGGAACCAATGGGATGCCTACTTATCAAGGCACCAGATTCTTAATGAATTTAGCAACCCGTAGAATCTCTTGGTAGCGAGATGGGCAGCTGATAAATTTAATTAATCCATAAATAAACCTGTACCTGGCCATGTGTTCCCACTGGGAACAAGCCTGCTGAACAGAAGTGAGAACCACACAGCAGTGTGCGTGTGCATTGTGGATGGGTGTGAGTACTCACACACACGTGTTGCGTTGCCGGCTTCTCCAGTTCAAACCCTAATTAGGGCAAAGGGGGAGAAAACATCCAAAGAGTCACTTGCCAGACTCTTTAGCGAACAGGAAAGAAGCAAGCGGGGGTTTTAAGGCTCGGTAAACAAAGTCAAGCAGAAAACATGTTGTGACATCAGATAACGAGAGATCCTCCCCAACCCCCCCACCCCCAAGTCATACGACACTTCTCCGGTAGCAGCCGAAAACATTTGGTAGCTCTTTTTATTATTATTTTTCTTGGAAGATGTCTCTCTCTGCTCGGCTGGCCCCGTGGAAGAGGCTCACGAGAAATGGGAGAAAAGTATTTCCCAATTGCTGGGTCTGTTTTGGCTGCTGCCTTTCTTCCTTCTCTCGACAGAGATAACGATGGCCGCATCTGTGGCGGCTGTGTTAAGAGCGCACAAATAAACACGTTTTCAAACTGTGCACGACGGGAGCACGACATCGGCATGGCCTCAGTGCAAGGAATACAGGTAGTCCTCAACTTACGACACCAGCGGAGTTCAGAATTGCTGTGGCTAACGTTTGATTCAATGTGCAACTTCCTTTTGAAGTGGTATAGGTAGGCACAATGAGAATTTATCTGCTGCAAAATCCCGCATGGGCAACAGGAAGGGCATCCGGCCAGTAAACACTCAGCTCATTCAGTTGCCTCGCGAGGGATTATGGGGTCATTAACCGACAACTAGTCCTATGACTTAAGACCACAACTGAGCCCAAAATTTCTGTTGCTAAGCTGTTTAATGAATTTTGCTCCATTTAACGACTTTTCTCGCCACGGTTGGTGAGTGAATCACTGAAGTTGTTAAGTTAGGAACACAGCTGTTAAGTGAATCTGGCTTTCCCATAGTCAGCATGACCCTGGGACACTGCAATCGTCATAAATATGAGTCAGTTACCAAATGTCTGAATTTTGATCACGTGACTATGGGGATGCTGCAGGGGTCATAAGTGTGAAAAACGGTCATCCCTTTTTTCAGTGGCGTTGTAACTTTGAAGGGTCACTAAATGAACTGTTGTAAGTTGGGGATTATCTGTACATGCAAATGAATGATCAATCCACACACAGTTTCAGAGTCCGCATAACGTCCCATTTAGAATTAAACATTTGGGCATGATCTCTCTGATCCCCCACTTCCAAGTCTGAGATCTTACTCAGTCTCTACAGATCCAGAGACTTATGTGGCAGCGGCTGAAACTTAGCGACCATTTAATGTAAAGTCTTCTCAATCCAATCTATCTGTGGGCCAGGCAAATTGGTTGAATCTCAGTATGATGGAATGCTGTCCGGAATGCCAAAGGGGTACTGCTTTCCAAAGGAGCCAAAGACAGGTATCCCAAAGGTGCTTTTTCAAGAGGCAACTGGACTT